TAAATATTTACATGAAATTGAAAAATTAGGGAAAGCAGAAAAATTTGAAAGTATATAAACGATAGGGTAAAATAGAAGAATATTTTTTTTTAGTCTGAATCATAACAAGGTCACAGAATCATCATCTTCAGAGGCTAAATAATGGACATTGTGTTACAATAAAACTGACGCCCTTTTTGTTTTCGCAATAAATCTGTTAATTCTAAAAATAATTCAATAAAATTTTATAGATTGAGGAAGGGACAAATTAAAAATGTTTTCTGTAAAATTTTAGTATATTCTATCAACAGGATCTAAAGATATGCCCTTTCAAGGTTGGACAAACAAAATTCGAACTTTTCCACAAGTAAATATTTATATTTTTTTTAAATTGAAACTTGCCATTTAAGCAGAAGATAATGAAAAAAAAGGTTTTTCAGTAAAAATGACTGAGTTTAACAAAAACTTATAGCTAGAATATCATTACGAAGCCAAGAGATTTTTGAAAGAATTTTCTAAAATGAAATGATATTATATTTTTCTAGTATAATATTTAAAAACATAAATTATTGTCCCCAAAAATTTTTTTTTTCAAGATGCAATTTGTTGATGGTAAATTTTGAATTGAATAATTTTCGATAGGCCTGGTGTGAATCAGAATTTAAAACCAGGCGATATCTACGAAACCGAAAGAAAATTTAGGGAAAGAACCCTATATTAAAATTTATAAGAATCAGACCGGAAATAAATTTGGAAATTTTTTATGAAAACCGCCTTTAACAAAATTGCAAGGATAATTTATATTCATTAAAATATAATGTCATCATTTTAGGCTGTGTCCAAAACATCAAAAAAATTAAATTCTCAAACTTTCGTATAACTATAACTAAAGAGAAATAAGCTATTTAATGTAAAAATAGTGGCCTAAATCTTTTTTTTCGAGTTAGTTATATTTATTAAAAATGGGAATTATTTAATTATATAGGAATTAAAATAAATAATTTGGTAATGATTAAATCAGTCCTGCAGGCCGGGCTCGTGTTTTTTAAAATTTACCCGTTTAAAAAAAAATACCCTGGCCGTATACTTTAAAACTAAATATTTTAAATCACCATTAGCTTATAAAAATTAAATAAAATATATTTAAAATAAATAAGGGCAGGGCCGAAATTTTTTTTGAAAAAAGGTCGAGCCGTGCAAATGGTACCTATACAGGTCTCTGAATTATATATTACAAATTTATAAAATTTTCTTAATGGAAGATATCGCATATGTTTAATAATAAAGTTTTTAAATTCTTAGAAATTATATTCATTTATTTAATTTGCTTTGACAGAGTTTGGAACATGTAATCACGTCAAAATTTAAAATCCAGTATCTATTTTTTTTTCCAAAATTTTAGGAACCTAGGTTCCCCAAATATTTAAAATGATAGTAAATTTAAATATAAACTTTGATTCGTGCATTATAAGTTTTTATAATCTTAGTTTGTTAAGACTAGGTATTATATGATAAATAATCACATAAAAAGATATAGGTAATCTTGGCGCCGAAGCAAATTATGTTTTATTTTTTTTTGCAAAAAACACTTCAAAAAATTATATTTTAATAATCATTTTTGTTATGGTATAAAAAAAACTCTTGGCTTTTGTTAATTTTCGTGGCTTCTACCCAAGTTTAAAACAGTGGGAAGATTATTAACAATTATAATAAAGTTATTATCAATAATATTTTCTCTTTTCATTCTTTAATTGAGTTTTAAACTAGTTGAAATCAGTTTATATCAAAAATTACTGGAAATTAACATCGACTCAAAAACAATTTTAATGAAGACAAAGGTTACAAACATAAGTACATCCATTTAATCTTTTGTTTTATTGGTTTAAGGACAATAATAACATAAATTTTTTGGGGTATATAAAGGCCTTATTTTTTCACGAATTTTATAAGAATATTCTAAACTAATCTCGAATAAAACTGAAAAGAAAATGATGTCAAAACTGGTAAATCTGATTGTAACATTGTTGGTAAGTTTATATATATAATATATTTAAAAAAATTTTTTTCCTTGATATAAACTTTCATTAATTATAATAACAAATTTAAATGATCTATTTTATATAATATAGTTGGTTATATGTGTTTGCGGTCTGATGGTGGAATCATTTCCATTCGGTCCACGACCCTTTATTGGAGGATTTTATCCAGGTTATGGTGGAGGATTTGGTTATGGTGGATACGGATATGGTCATCCTTGGGGAGGAATTCCACCATTCTATGGATAAACTCAAATCAAATCCCCCTCAAAAATTTAAGATAAAATTATGCTTCGTATTTTAAAAAATTATTAATTTTTTTATACAAATTATTTTTGCGAAATTCAATTTTTTTATCTTTATTTTTGTAATGCGAAATTTGATTTTCAATAAAAGCTTCTTATAATTTTGTCCAAATATAATTCTGTTATTTATTTTTAAGATAATATCTTGAGAAAATAGTATTCAAAAAGAAAATAATATAATTTTTCACTTTTCTTGAATAATTTAAAATGGATAAATTTAGATTCTATTAAAGTCAAAAACGACCTAAATTTGTTGCAATAAGTGAAAATAATATATTAAAATTTTACAGATTTTGAGGAAAAATGAATAAAATGAAACTTATTTAAATTTTTAAATCTGAAAATATTAGTATTTCCTAAATATAACCCGCTAACTTGCTCAAACTAATGATTATATGACTTGGCTTATCTATTTTATATTTTTAAAAATATTAAATATGCAATATTATAAAATAAATTTATTAGATTAATATAAGCGAATGTAGTTCAATTTAGCCAAAAAAATTTATCCTATTTTAACACTTTTATCTCATGTTTTTGTAAATAGAATTTTTCAAAAAGTTGCAATATGCCTTTAAATTAATTAGAATTTATTGTTGATGATTTAAATAATGAAAACAAATTATCCACGTTTCCTAAGTTAATTCACACCTTTAATATTTTATTTATAAAAAAATTAGCTAGAATTAATATTTCCAAAAAAAATATATTATGAAGGATTTATTAAAATATTAGATAGGGGAAATGTGCCATGAATGGCCATGTTTTTCCTTTTTTGAAAAAAGGTATTAAAATTTAGGTTTAACCAAACAAATTTTATATCAATGTGTAGCCTAATTATTAATCTTTAAAATAAAATTTAATCAAAGCTCTACCTATGATAGTTTATGAGTTAGATCAGGATATGTGAAAGTTGTTTTTGTATTGAGTGGCCATATACTATGTATTAACTGGCAATATACTATGTGTTAACTGGCCATAATATATTATTTAAAATTTTACTATAAATATGAAATACTTGTAAAAGACCTATGTTAATATTTCTACATTTTTTAGTTATATAAAAAATTATACACTAATTTAATTAGTATTAATATCTATCACCATCTATTTAATGATAATATTATAAATTAATATCTTAATTGTATTTTGCTAAACATTCTTAAGCTTGTTCGTCATTTGAGATTTCACCAAATGTTGTTTTGCACCAGCTTTTCAGTTCAATATGAATAGTGAGTGTGTGTGGCCAATCAATATATGGCCAGAAAATACTCACCTCTCTATTATTATTAAGCACCTTTATATGTCTAAAATATTTTAAAGTCTAATTTTTTGTGTGAATAATGCTAAATGCCTAAGGATAATATTTATATAAAATATCAGTAAACTAAATTATAATTTTTTCACCGAGCAAAAAAATGTATAACCTGATTTTTCCAGAAAGAGGTAACAAAAACAGTTTATTTAAAATATTTTTTTAATAGATTGCACTATTCAATAAATAAACTTAATATCATAAATATACACACTTTGACCAATTTTGAGAGAAATTGGTCCAATAGATAAAAAGTTAAAGGGTAGTGACTAGCCTTCAAACATAGCCATTTATGGCACAATTCCCCTAAATTTTTGGAACATCATTTTAAAAGTATCATTTAATTTTATGTGATTATTTAATTAAGTATATATTCGAGTTTTAAATAATATTTATTATTTATCTTCGACCTTTCAAACGAAAAATATTAAACCCAAAAAAATATTTTTTTGAACCAAATAAAAATTGTACAACTTTCAAATAAAAACGGGATAATTTTTAATTTACTTGATATTTAATTTTTTTTACTGGCCAAATTATTAGTGAAATTTAATTATTTATCATAAATTAATGAAATTATCATCTATTATTTATATAAAAAAGAAATGTTGAAATCCTAATCAAAATTTAAGGTTATTAAAATCAGAATTGATATATTTTTTTTCATTCAATTATTTAAAACTAAAAAAAACCCATATACATATCAAAATTCAATGTTCCAAATAAAACCTTCGGCCACGTTATAGCATGACTAGATTTTATTAAAAACATTTTTAATATACCTGCAGTGGTACCATTTGCGCGACCGTCATTACTACTTTTTAAAAAAAAATTCGTATGTAGTGAATGACTATACGTCCGAAAAAATGAGTGTATAAACTTACAAGGGTAAAAGGACCCAAAAAAAGGAAAAAATGCAGTGTTACAAGTTTCCTTATATAACTATAAAAATACTTATAGGATTTCTTAATTTAAAAAATAATAATGCATTAACAAAATCAAGCAATAATATTTAAATACTTTAAAAAATGGAAATTCTCTAAGGTTGCGTTATAAGCGCAATTTGCTTAAGCGATGCAAAACTAATCGCTTACAAAATCACATCTAGTTTGCCACAGCGATAACACTTTCTGAAATACTTGTAAATTGATTTATAATTTATACCTCTTATTGGTTGCTTTTGTAAATTAAGCAAAGAAAATTATTGAATCGCATGAGTGAATCTCACTTATATAAATGCAGCGTAAATTATTATTGGTTACCATAAAATACTAGCTATGAGTCAATTTTGTTTATTCACTAAATGTATATAAGATTGTTAGCAATAGATGATTTATTGTGTAGGTTTATCGGCATTGAAATACAGGTTTATATTTACAATAATCAATTGAGCATATTTTTAAACATTTCCGTCATTAACGATAGGCTGAGAAAAAAAATAATCCATCAAACATTGATAGTCTTAAATATGTTGATGCCGGTAAATGATGTGTCTATTATAAGACCAGGAATTTGAGGATGCCAATGCAATTCTTTAATCTCATTTTGCCCCTGATGAACAAATAGCAGGTAAGGTGGAACTTCTGCTTCAATCGCTTTTAGTTCTTCGATTTCGGGATTGGTTGATGGTTCACCTTGGTCACCATTGGCCGCTTTAAAAAAAATAATTTAAAATTTTGAAATATTTGGCAATTTAATTGTTTTTATTTTATTTATCATTTAGAAATTTAAAGGAAATCATGCAATGTTTTATAGAATATTCCATGAGTAACAACAAATATTATATTACATTTTATAAAAAATGCATCTCTTATCTATCTATTAGTATGCTGGAAAAAAAACTAAAACAATATTGAAAATAATATATATATATATGTATATATAGGGAGGCAATACTATTTCAATTGGGTTAAATTGCTAGATATGCCCCCCCCCCAATTTCTTGTAATATCTAAAGAAATATACTCATTTTTTAGAGATTAGAACTTATCTAAGCGCCCTAAGAACGCACAGAAAATTATTAATAACTTGTACATATAACCAGTAACCACCCAAGTGGTAATTAAAATTACTTTGTTTATTACAAATTTTTCAAGTATGACTGGTAAAAATACCATTTCCACTAGTAAAATGGTAACACCTGTTTCCAATCCAAAAACGGGAATGCATTTTATATTAAAAAAAAAAATTTGAACATAATCCACTACAAATAACCCGATCTTGGATATCGATAAGATTTCAGGATAAAAAAAATAATATCAAAACATAGAAATATACAATGTTCTGTCTTGGGATCTTGAATCTCGTCTTTTTCGAGAGAAAGGTCCCAAACGGTAAGTTTATCATCGCCGGAGGCAGCCGCGAATACGGAGCTTTCGTCCGGTTTCCATTCGACGGAGGTAATGGGGCCGGAATGATACTTGAAGACGGCCATGGGCTTGTTCTCCTTTTTTAATTTTAATAAACATTTTCATATACTTTCGATTATTTTCTATTCTGTTTGTAATAATTTTTCTAGTGAAATTATCAAGGATACTAACTAATAAAAAAAAGTTCATTCATATATGTCTAAATGTTTGATTATTGAAATTACGAATAAAATGCAAGTTATTAGTAGAACTCTTAGTCTTAGAGTGAAAACTTTATAAAACAAAGACTACGTTCAAAAAATTAATCTGTATATCGCATTCAGACGATTTAGTCTTAGAGTGGAATCTTTATATAACAAAAACTACGTTTAAATAATTAATGATCGCATTCAGACAATTTTAAAAGCGAGATAAAAAAGAATCTAAACCATCATTTGAGCTGTCGCTCAAGTAGATTTGATTATTATATGTAAATTGCGATTAGGTCTATTAGGTTTATGAAAAAAATCTTTCTTATGTTCGATTAATTTATGAAATTACACCATTATTGGATTTGAATATGAATCATAGGTGGAGCCAAGATTTCCCAAGGGGAAAGAAGATTAGCGGAAAAAGCTGGGTGCTTACACTTTAAAAAAAATTACACTATAATATCTGGCAATGGTTTAGTAATAGAGATCATTATCCATGGAAATGTTCAAAAACTTAGATATACATCAAAATGTATGAGTTATGTATTAAGATTGATTCGATACATGGAATAAAAAAGAATAATCATAATTTTTTATTATAAAAACTATTTAGTCAGTATTAAACGCTTTTTCCCGAAAATGTAAAATTAATCTTTAAATTCACATTTTTTGGGGGGAAAAGGATGGGGCATGTAGGAGGGGGCATGGGAGGAAGTTGCCTATACCTATGATATGAAAATGATAAAAAGTTATTCATCGTATAATTAGCCTATTCATAATTCGACTAAATTACATAAAAGGAATACGAATTATTCGAATGGATATAAATTATTCGATTCAATAACATTATTTGAATGAATATGAATCCTGATATGTGAATGTAAATCAAATACCTTAAACTCCCTGAGATCCCATATTTTTATGGTTCCGTCGTCGGCACCTGACACTAAGAAAAACTGTTCGAGTTTGTTCCAGCTTATGACGTTAATATCGGAGTCGTGGGCCTCGGTAGCGGTGAGCATGCAGGCCTTGTCGTGAGCCGCCCTGCAGTCCCATATTTTTATGGTTCTGTCGACGGAGCAGGAAGCGAATACCTTCATTTTTTTAAAAAAAAAGTACCATCGAGGACTAAACATTAAATAAATTAGCGTTGGATAAATAAATCCCCTCGCCACCATGTCTCAAATAAAAATACGATTTTATTATTTTTTTTCAATATTACTCAAATTTTTGGAAAATCAAATGATAATACAGTATTTAAATTATATATCGCGGTATAGAGTTTATAGAGAATATTGAAAGAACAGTGACAATCAAGCGTTATAATTGTGGACAGTTGAGTCATCTCACGAATGTGCAGTAATACGCAATTTAAATTGCGTAAGATGAGGTCGAGGGGAATTTATAAATTGTAGAGCTTTAAAATGTGATAAGTGCAATAAATTTGGTCATTTAGGAAATAAATGTTTTGTAAATATGAATAAATTATAACAAAATTAATTAAGTAATGATATAGATAATAAATTTCTATTTTGATAATACGGTTAGCATTAGCGATGATTTAAATTTTTTTTTGATAATACAACTTTACAAATAAAATACTAATAAAAGTAAGATAGATTCTGAGTAGTTAGAGGATATATGTCCGAGAGTTTATGTCATGTTATTAGATGGTAGGGTAAAATTTTTATTAGATAACGGGGTCAGTAATCAGTGTTATTAGTGTCAACCAATTTAATAAAATTAGGCCGGGTCATACGTCTGAAAGGGAAAAAATGAAGGTGACTCAGTTTGATGGATTTATAATAAAAATTTTGGGATTTGATGTAACAGAATTATCCAATATAGTTGTATTATATTGTGAATGACCACGTAGAAAATTGAACCGATATTGGGATAATATTAAAATTTTAAGCAAACAAATATAAATATATATCATTTTTAAAATAATAAAATTATACATCAGCCTCACTTGGTGACCATTGGATATCTTCGACTGAGAGTTTGTGAGATATATAAGGAATCTGATCGACGTGCCAGGTAGAATCGTCCCTCATGTTCCATAGATGAATGTTCGACTTGTTATCACCTGTAGCTAATCTGCCTATTAAATTTAAGTATGAAATTAATGGTAATAGTTAATTAATGTGATAATGTAGTAACCCGTAGAAAAATAGGTTTTTTTTAAAGGTAGTGCCCATAGGAAGGTAAGTTTTTTAAGAAATTTAAAGCTTAAATATGAATTATAATGAGCGTTTCTTTTAAATAATGCACGAACTGATTCTGATGGAATACTTTTCTAGCGTGTTCAGAGTACCTAGGTGATATTTGGAAATTATTAACTATAATTTATCAGCGACTCTTAATGTATGTACCAATTTTTCTTATATATATTTTTAGGAGATACTTTATACTGAAATATGTCAGGTAAAATCAGAAGTCGAAAATAAAGAAAGGGTGATATAAATGATTTTAATCCAGGCCAAGAAAGAAGGATATTTCCTTTTCTTCTTCCTCTTCTTAAGGAGTAGTTCCAGAATTTGAAAAATTTTATAACCAGCGTTGGAGTCTGTTCAAACAAACCGGTTCTTAAATTTAGCAAACGGTTTCTCGCGATCGGTTTCATAAATTGCAATATTGAAAATTAATTTATATTGAACCGGTTTGCAAAATTTAAAAAGAAATGTTAAGTGATTCACAAGTATATGTAATATGAATAAACATGAAAATAATGAGAATTACTAGGTAAGGACTAAGGTCTTGGTTGCCTGATAGGGATAGTAATTATTATTAATTGATGATTAGCATTGGAAGCAATTATAATTTATTAAACTTCATTGATAAAAATATATATTCGAGTTAGAAGAAATCTTATGTTGAACCATGTTAAAATCTACAATCTTTCCCTTTAATCTCCCAAGATCTCCTCAACTTCATCATAATTAAGTTAAACAATGCCCATCTTCGATTATTAGTAACTTCCCTTCAACCTTCTCTCCTCGTTAAGAGGGCATGAATAATGTTTCAATAATTGCTGATTCAAATTCTTAATCAAATCAACTTCCTTTTTCCATGGCAAGATAGTAAGTTGGAATTCAGAATGAACATTTTCTCACCAAGTACCCTTTGTATATCAATCAATTAAAACTAAATGGCTGTAAACTATACTCAAAAGTTAAATATGCAAGGTTTTGAATTAACTCGGCATCATCACGTGTTTAAAGAATGAGTGGTTATGGGCCAACAAAAAAACGAATAAGTGCTAACTGTGATTCAAGGTTATTCAGAAAAAATTGTCAGCAATGAGCGGATTTTTAATTAAAACGCCTGTCCATTTATTTAAAAATTTTGTTCAACCCATCTGCCCCTGTCCAATGTTTAAAAAAATTTTATTGGTTGGTTTGACCCTTAAAATATTTCATATCAATATATTTGCACGTAAACTTATTTAAATATGCAAAATAAATGCGTCGGGCTCATTATCGCCCGAAAAATATTTCAGATTAGCTCGCTCTCTCAATGTTTTATTAAATATTTTACCTAGCCCGCTCGCATTGCGGACGTTTAGATTCTTCCAAATTTGCATGCAAAATGGTCAAGCTAGATTTTTAGCTAAATCTTTTGATAAAAAATTCGTAATGACGCCATATATGTTCTAGTTTGAATAAGAACTAAATTTTATAGCTCGTTAGCAATTATATTATCTGACATAAAAAAATTGACACCTCTTTCACCCTTTTCCGAAGTTAAATGATTAATTATTTACTTAAAAATAGGAGTGTACAGATATAACTTATTAATGGTGTATCCGGTCCGATATTATATTGGTCGATTATCAATCGATTCGATATCCATAATATGATTTTGCTCGTTATAGATACTAAATATTTTAATTTTTCAATGCATTTATCTACTTTTACCACAACCATCATACAAAAGTCATTTAAAATAATAACTAATAACAAATTTTAATTAACCTATCTTTGAAAGTATAGTAAAACGGTATCCTCGGAAGAATATATATTATTAACTTTATTAATTTATACAATATTTTCAAATTTACAAAAGGGAAATTACTATTACAATTTATAATATCTTTATTTAAAAATGAATTTTCCAAAACTTTTGTAAAAATTTAATTAATAAAAAAGATCTAATATTTCGAAAAAAAAAATATTATATAATCATCATTTTTTTACTTCAAATATAATAATAATAATTCCCCAATCAGATGTATGCAAAACCTCTGATTGACGTTTAACCAAAATAAATTGTAAATACATATAATATACTAGGGCACTATCATTTTTATATTTATTCAGTTCTACTCATCAAGGTAAAAGAATATAAATATTGATTAATTATTTATATATAAATTTTTTTTGTTTCAAGTATTTCTAATGTGTAGAAAATAATGAATCCTATGCCTATTCAAGATCCATGAAAACTGTTAGAATAAAATTATTTATTTGGTTTCAAAATCCTAAACAACCTTATAAAAAAGATAATATGTATTTTATGATTTTTTTTTTACATATTTTCAATTTAGTTAGTTTTAAAAAAAATGATCAATTAAATTATATAAAAATGTTTATCAACTTATATATAAATATATTTTCTTAAATATTAATAAATTTAAAAAAATAATTTCGATTTATTTCAAACGATATTTCAAAAAAGTTGAAAAATCGGTTTGATCCGATTGATTAAAAAACGTCGGTACATCACTAATTAAAATTAAATTAATTTGAATATTATATTATATATTTATAACTAAGGAAATTATTTATAATTGGGAGAAAAATAAAAACGAATTTTTTTGTAATATATGGTCATTTTAGGTACAGTAGGTATATCATAGGGTTGTTAAGTCTGGGCATATTCCGGAAATTTTTTGGGATTATTCTTTGGGAATTTATTGAAAGCGAATATTTCCAAATTTCCCAATTTTTAAAAAATAAATAATTAAAAAAAATAAGATCCTATTTCTTATAAATAATTCAGCATAAATAAATTTATTCAAAATACTCACCTAAGTCACATTTAATAGTTTTTGTGTCCTAAACCGAATAAGAATTTTTTTTTTTGACAATAACTTTTCCAAAAATAAATTACTTATCCAAGTATGATTTAATTATACTAAAAAAAGTTAAATTCTTATAAATCACCATGAAAAGCTTAGATACATTTATTTAGAATATTTTAGTAGCTCAAATTTTATAGTTTTTGTTTCCTAAGCCTAAATAACAAATATATGAAATCGAGTTTTGATAAAATATTTTACTAATTATTAATTTATTATTTGCATTATAATTTATCCGTTGTTACTTGAATATAATGATATATAGTATAAACAATTTAAGCAATATCATTAATTCCCACAAATTTCCGATAATTCTCATATTTTTCCCAAAATTACCATGGGAAAGTTACCACAATGAAAATTTTCGGGAATTCTCCAACCTACCTATGCAAAAAATAAATACGAATAAAAAAAATGTATATTCGCATTTAATTGTTTTGAACGAATTGAATAAATTATCATTCAATATAACAATCCAATAATGGCTAACTTAAAATTTTATCCAGAAAAATATTATACAAGACTGAAGATATTGCTCAGAGATGGCACAAAGGTTTGGACATACATCTGTTGGTGAAATCTCGAGGATTAGGCAATATTTGTGGCAAAATATTGAGATAGCCGTTTTTTAATATTGGCTCAAATAGAGCCGTTTAATAACATTATCGTATAAAACTAGTAGTAAAAATACCCAAAACGAATTATTAGTTATTCGATTCGCATTTTACGAACATGAATAACAAAATTATTTTATGAATAAGGAAACTATATTAACTGTTAAATAACTTTTTATCAATAATTCGATATAATTATTTGTATATATGTATTCTTATTATTCAAAATAATTTGTAAATATTGGAAATTATTTACAAATATTAACTATTTTACGTATAACATTTTCCTTGTAGAATTCACTATTTTTTCCCCATATCAAATCACTTTTTTAAATGTTAATATCCCCCTTTTTCATTTTCGTAAATATTTTTAAAAATTATAATTTTTGAATCTAATATTTGACGAATCGAATAATAATTTAAATTCGATTAAAAAAATATGAATCAAAAATTTTTAAAATATCCCCCCCCCCCCAACCCCCAAAAAGATACTGCATTTAATATCTAAAAAGGTGTAGTTGGCGGAAAATTTTTTTCCATTTGTTTAAAAATTGTACAATAATTGAAAAAATTTAATTAAATAATTCATGAGAAAAGGGTTAAAAAAGGCCAATTTTTGTAACTTAACCCCCCCTCTCCCTTTTCAGGTATTATGATTGCCAACGAGCTAAGATTTCCATTTTAATCTATCTAGGACATCTTTAATGTGACTATAAATTTTATCAAAATTTGGGGAAGATTGAGAGGTGCTTGATTTTAGCATGGAATGACTCCCTACCTCAGTGGATCAAAGTTTAACAAGTCATTAGCTCAAGTAGTGGAGAAATATACTAATACATTTATTATAACAATAAGTTAAAATAGTCTTATAATATCTATCCAAGTGTAAATGCAAGTAAAAAATGGAGCGTATGCTAGAAATGTTTAAATTCCATCAGTATTATTCATATAGAGTCAATGTTTTTTTAATATTTAGGCTGATGGATATCAAGGTTGAAATATTTAAATTAAGAAAAATCCACACTAATAAAGTATTTCCAAGGTAGAGTTAAATAATTTTCATCTAAAGAAATAAGTACTATTGACATATTCTTTATAAAAAAATATATCATATCTATTATATGTATAAAAAACAAAGATGTAATAAATAAAATAAAAAATATATAACAAAATATATTTTCCCCATATTTTTTAATGAAATTTTTAAAGCAATGAGTAAGGTTTTGAATTACCTTTACTCAAAAATATATGACAAGTAACAAATGGTGTTCATTTTCCTCAAAAAAGGTTATGGCATTCACGATAAATAAATTATCTAGGGAAAAAAATCTCAAAATCATAAAATTTAATTTAAACATGTTATTAAAAATGTACCAATTTTAACAGGGGACCAATCAAGAGCAAAACCTTCCTCCATATGACCACCAAATGTAAATATGGGCTTTGTAGCATATTCTGAATTATCAATATTTTTGTATTTATGCATATATCGAGAATCATTAACAGCTAATAAGGCTTGATTTATATTCCATAAATGTACCTTTTTTGACTCTGACCAAGTTGCCACTATAAGTTTTTCATTTATTTGCATTAACTGGTTTAAAAATAATATATTATCAATTTATATCAATTCAAATTATAAATGTATAGATAATACCTTTAAACGATTAACACCCCCTTCATGATGTATAGATGATGATTCAAATTTAGGTGTTTTAATTATTGTCTCCTCCTCTGTTTCACTATCGCTAGTTTCATTATCCAAATTTTCTGAAGATTTTTGAGTCTTGCATAAATTTTCCATCTTTAATACTATTAAAGAGTTTTTGCGAAAATGGGGCCCCTCCATATTTTTTAGTAAAAATAATAGCATATTAATTTTTTTATGCATAAAAGTGAATATTATATAAAAAGGAACATATTTATTAATATAAACCTGAGTTCCAGCCACTATATATCCAGTTAATGGGTATAATGCTCTGTTATTTCCCAAATTATCAGGGATGATGTTAAAACTTAGACATGATGAAGCTAATGTTAAAAAATAAGGTAGAGAATAAAAATAAATCTATTACCCAAAGTAAAATTATGTAATATTTCATAAACAGATTCATCACATTCGAGATCATTATCACTCTCATTACATTCTATAGGCTTGGGTGCATTTTTATTTTTAAGATTTTTTTTAGAATTTTTGGATTTTTTTATTTTATTCTTCATGATAAATGATTATGTGACTTTAATATCCCAGTATTTAAATAAGTTACTAAACCCTGACTGGTCTTTAAAAGAATATTAATAAAAGATGGCTCATGTGTTAAAAGAGATTAATTGAGCGGATCAGTGCCACCAATATTTAAAAATTATTTTTTTTGGCTAAATTATTGATTGATAACAAAATGATGTAACTGGTTTTGGCGATGTGAATGATCAAGAATGTCAGATCAATTTTATGCTAAAATAATGTATCCAGATACCCTTTTAAAAAATTTATACCAAAGGTTCGAGTATTACAAAGTGGAGCTACGCCTAGAATTTCTTTCAGGAAAATAAGTATCTAGACTTGGCAGTGTTACTATTATACTATTCTAACTTAATAATAAATTTATAAATATTTATAATTTATAAGTATATGGAACAAGAAATGCATATTTTAGTATGATATTTAAAGTTGGGTTAATGTATAGCTATTTTATACATTAAAATCATTCATACATAAATCAAAATTTAAAAAAAAAATTCCTTCGATGAATGTAAATTTTAAAGAAAATCATAATAATTTTAATTTTGAATGTGTATCTCCTCGAAGATCTGTAACAGAAGAAGAATCAAAGATATTAGTTCTATATATTGGAGGTACCATTGGAATGGATTCTGTTGGTGGAGGTATTAATATGTAACATTTTTTATACTCTTGATCAGTATATAGTCCTGTTCCTGATATATTGTATCGTAAACTAAGAAAGTCAACTTCACTTAATGACTTAGACTATTCCAGAACTAAAACTATTTATGAAAATGAAGATTTTTTAGCCTTACCGTATGATATTTAAATGCATAAACTTTATATTTATTTTAGAAAAATGGCAGATAGTAAAAGAATTATTTACAAAATTGTTGAATATGATACTTTATTAGATTCATCTAATATGTGTATGGATGATTGGATAAGAATTGCTACTGATATTTATGTATATAATTCTTTTTTTATAATATTATTTTAAAATTATTAGAAATATTATAAATTTTATGATGGCTTTGTTGTTTTACATGGAACGGATACAATGTCATATACTGCATCTGCTTTGTCATTCATTTTGGAGAATCTGGGCAAGCCAGTCATATTAACAGGATCACAAGTATTATATTTACTTAAGATTTGTTTATGTTATTTCATATTAAATATTAGTATATATTTTATATATATATATATATATTTGCTCTATTTAAAATTAGAATAAGCTGAATATTAAGTTTATATCTAATATTTTTTTTCTAAACTATTTTTACTTATTCATTATTACAAATTTACACTTATTAATTTATAAATTGAAATTTTATATAATTATTATGTTTTTGGTTCATATATTTTTTTAAAGATTTTGACTAATTATTGTTGTAGCCCAAAGTTTACTGTGAAGAAAGATTTTTGGGGTAGGGGAGACAAATAGTCTAAAATAATATGTTAAAAAGTTAAAAGGTGATAATAAGCAAATATATATATCTTTTTCTTAATTAAGCTGGGTTGGGCAATTTACACAAAATATTTTGTAAGATTGGTAAAAATAATTATGAACTATACTTGGGTGAAAAACTTAATAAAAAATTCCTGGTTTGGGTAATGCAACTTTTTTAGAAAATAAAGATGGATTTTTAAGAGTAGCAAAGTAGTATTATAAATGCAAAAATTATGTTCATAATTTTACACATATAAAATTTTAAATATTTTATTAATTTGGTTTTAAAATTTAACTATATTTTGAAATAAGAATTTATGTTGTTTATAAACATTTTTATATTAAAATTTATAAACCGAATGTTCCAATTTTATTACCAAAGAGATAAAATTTATCAATTTTTTTCCAATAAATGTGAAACAAAAAGTATAATTAAAATATTGTAAGAACATATTCAAATTAATTTTTTTTATCCAGTTTATGCTCTAAAATATTAAAATGTCTGAAATAGAGATGATTGAGACTTAATGTTAAGAATATAATGTTATATATCCATTTATCAAATCACATGGTTCATTATAACACCTAATTTTTGAAATTCTTTATTTTACAGTTTGTTTTTCATTATTTTGTGATTAATGCCCAGCCCATGTTATTTTGATATATAGAGTGTCTTTAATTTTGTTATTTAAAAAGCATAAAAACAAGTTACCGATTAATATAATTAATCTATGAGAGATTCATCATTTCCTAAGGAAAATATGACTGCTAAAATAAAATTAAAGACCTTTCCTTTTTTTCTGTAATTTTTTAAAAAATAATATAGCACTACAAACCTCGTCGACAATTATATAAAAGATACGAATCTAAATTTGATTTTTTATTTATAGAGTAGCGCAAAAAATTATTTTTTTAAAATGGTAGCTTTTTGCGAGTTATTTTTCATAAAAAATCTTGGTAGTGGTAGCGACTTACTATTTTTTTTGACAAGTAGTTATAGCGAGAGCGCTCATACTTTTAAAATTAGCGTTTAACAAAATCGATCTTGAACAAGGTAAAGCCGCTAAAAAAGTTTTCAACAATATTATTTATAACATCGAGGAGGGTTATTGATTTTTGTGTTTTTTTATTGATATGTTGGATGTCATAAATTATCCTATCCATATATACAAAAATATCATCGGTTTCAAATAATATCTGCTGCCTGTATAGATCTGAGTTCGAATCTAGGAAGGTTCAAAATTTATCTAAAGCTAACTAGATGGCTGCATGCTACGGGATGAGATATGTTACAGATCAGAAGCGAACGCATTATTTTATTTATATATATTTAAATAAAAATAGGTTATTATTTTCATTTTGGTTGTCGTTGGCTTGCCATTTTGTTAACGTCTTCGTTTGCAACACTATAAAAAACAACATTTAAGGATTAGATTCAAAGAATAAAGGCTCTAGTTTTATTGACCAGAGATCGTTTTACATGCAGGTTATAATGATGTGTGTCTTACCTATAATGCTGTAATGAAAATTACTATCTATAGTTAAGGATGTAAAAAAAAGGATTTTTAAATATAAAAATGATTCTAAAAAAATACATTTTAAAATTCTTAAATAAAAAGTCCCTCTTTTTTAAAAAAAATAAAACAACTTTAACAATATAAGAAAATTATAAAAATGATAGCGATAGCGATAAATGTGAGATTTGAAATGAAATATACTAGATTATATTTTTAATAGGTTTTTTTAAAAAAAACACAAAACAGAAAAATAACAGAAAAATAACATTCATTTGTTTTTCCCCGAAAAAATTATTTTTAATTCCTAGCTATAGTTTTAAAATCACCATGCTTGGTTTCAATTTCTCTCGTATGCATGTCTCCTATATTTTTAACTCATGAGAAATTTATAGAAATTTTACCAGTAATATTGAGAAGAAATAATCAGAAAATCACTTTTTTTTCTTCTTTTTTTATCCAAAAAACATTAAATTTACTGATCAAATCTATCAATAATTAAATTAAAAATCAATAATCATGATTGACATTTTCTTTCTAATTATTATTATATTTTATCTACATATATTATTATTATATTACAACAAAATTATATGTCCTTTATCATACAACCAGGCGAATCTTCCCACGGGTGGTACACTCAACTTTATTACATTTTAAAATTACTCACCACTTAAACCTTGTAATGCAAATAAAACGATTAGTTATTTTTTTTAAATACAAACTTTAAGATACCTTTAGTCGAAGTTAGGAGCGACGGGAGAGACAATTTTATAGGGGCCTTAGTCTTGGCAACTTACAACATTCCTGAGGTAAATTAATAAATACATCCATTTAAGACGTGTTAAAATATGATTGTCACCGGATTCATGGATCTAGTATATCTTCTTTAGTTATTATTTTGACAAAAATTCTTCATAAAGATTGTCTTTCTTTCTTTCCTTTCTTTTGAAAATTTAATTGACCCTTATTTTATATTTCTATTTAAAAAAGTGTATTTATATTAATTTTCATTGAAATTTTTGGAAGTTATAAAAATATGTTTTTTAACGTTTTGAATTCAGCCTAAGAATCTATTACTTTTTAAAAATTTTTATTCATTTTTCATCATGCGGAAATTTCAAATTTAACATATATTTAATATTTCTTATTTTGTAAACTATATTTTCACGCGTATAAAATTTATTTTTAAGGTGTGCATTTATTTTGACCATCGCTTGTATAGGGGAAACAGAACAAGAAAAATCGATAATAGTTCTTTTACAGCTTTCAATTCACCTAACATGCCACCGTTGGCTAACATGGGTGTGGATATTAAAAGTTTAGAAACTCTTTTTAATAGAATTATATTAGCGTGAAAATTGAAATTATTTTTTTTTATATAAGGATATACCTAGGAATGTGAAAAATAATTAAAACACCCCAAAATTAGTTTTCTTATATAAAAAAATATGTAAATTTTTATTTTAATAAACTCAATTTAACAAAAGTGAGCTATTGTGAAAATGAATTTCTAACAAAATATTTTGTAAGATTAATTTTTTCATGAGGATTTTTATAGTTAGTGTCATTAAACGGCTCGATTTTTTAAAACGGCTAACCCAATATTTTAGCCAAAAACTGTTACTCTAGCTTGGAGATTTTGCTCGTAGATGGCAGAAAGGTTTGGACATCTATTAACGAAATCTCGAGGCTGGCGTAATATTTTCTGGTTATATTATTATGTTAGCCGTTTAACAAAGCTAGTTATATTAATAATAAAAAATTGAAAGAAGTAGAAAAAAAATAATGTGTTATTTTTATCCCTAGATCGGTCCGATAGTCCTGAAATTCCTAAAACCCGCCTGCCTATTACTTTTTTTTGAAATAATTTGCCAGAGGCGTTGATTTTCCGCCTTCCCAAATTTTTTGAATCCTATGGCAGTTCTATGTTTCATTGAGATTCAATCGATTTAGAATTATCACTAAAATCACAAACCTGCTCACTTTATTCAGATGACTAGTTTAAATTATAGACGTTAGTTGAGAGTATAGTCGGGTAATGGCTAAATGTCGGCAAATTTAGGCCCAATCTAACCTGCCTAGGAAAATCCATTAATATTAAGTCTTTTTAATTTGTATTACTTTCTTTAAAATTTGAACCGCTATATTTTTAAGAGAAACTCCGAGGTTAAAGCGATAGTTTTAAGCTAAAACTTGGTTTAGCTTATATTTTAACCTACTAAAAATTTTCTTGTAGCTATAAATATAGTAGTTACCCAACTATAGTTTGTATCAATTTAGGCCTACTTAAAAAATATCATTATATTTATTTTTTAAGAAAATTTTTAATTTTTTTTAAAGATAATCCTCGAGATTAGCTCGGTCCTCTTTTGGCCAAATCACGGGGCTTAGAAATTATTTTTTTGGCTGAAATCTAGTTTAAGGTTTTAACGAACAACACGTTAGGCATATTCGAAAAAGTGGTCTGGTACTTGCATTTAAGACAAGAAATATTGAAATAAAATAATAATTTAAACATTTTTATCTGATTGGTAGTTGATTGGGACAACGTATTTCCCGCTTCATCTCACAAAATGCGCGTTCAAACTGAGCTGTGCAGGGACGTAGGTATGTTGCAATTGTTCCCCGGAATTTCTTCTCAAACGGTTAGTTATATTTGCGCCAAAAATAATTTCAAAAAAAATAGTATTTTTTTTATATTTTGGACAAATCTATTAAATTTAAATCCCCCCTCACCCCCAGACAGAGGTTTAACAAACCTTTCCCGCGGCGAGGGTTGACTAAATTATTGTTCCACGTATACGTGGGCTCTCAAGATTCCTCAAAGTATATGTGTTGGGTTATGCAAGATTATTTTTCCGGCATGCCTTATACCCCATAGTCTCTTTTTTGTGCTGTAATGATTCACTTTTGGCATCGAATAAATTGATTTTTTTTTAAAAAAAGGATAATATTAATCGAATCATATCTACATCTTAATATTAGAATAGAATGCTGAAAATCTATTTTTTCAAAGTTCCGGTAATAAGAAATACCTTAAGTATAAAAACACTTATTTTTTTGATCAATTATGTTGTGATTTTTCCACTAATCATAATATATAGTTTCTTCGCCAAATGATTAGGAATGGGACTAATTTTTTTTTTTTAATAATTAGGGAAATATAATGATTCCGAAGGACTCCAATTTAGGGAATGTAACTTACATTTCATAACCGGGTATGGAAAATCGGAAAATATCAATTTTAAATGAAAATAGTCAGGTTTCAACCGGAAATGTATTGTAAATACCTTATTCTGTGAATTTTTGACATTTTTTTTCAATGAACCTTTGAGTTACTTTTCTTTGTGTATTATTTATTATATACGAAAATGGCAGAGAGGATAGTACTTTTTATAGTCCATACATGTAGGAATACGTTTTCCGGTCAATTCTTACTTTTCATATTTAAAAATTGCTTTCGGTAAATGATTCAAAATTGGAATATTCGGAAACCTGATGGATTTCATATCCCGGTTACGACATACAAGTTATAATTATATGTTTAGTCATTCTATTGCCTTTATTTGTCGGTTATGTCAAAATCAAAATTTTTTTAAAAAAATCTGAAAGTTAGGAAAGAAAACCAAGGTATAAGGTTTACCAAAATCGCAAGTAGTTTTGTTAAACGGCTCGTTTTGAACCGATTTTTAAAAACGGCTAACTCAATATTTTAGCCAAAAAATATTATATAAGCCTCGAGATTTGGTTAATAGATGCCTAGATCAATTTTTTCAGGCTTGCCTGGATAAAATACTGAGTTTAGACGATTTTAAAAATCGGCTCAAATTAGCCGTATAACAACATTAAACCCGCAAGTAATTAATTTGCATTTTGTCTTTTTAAAAATATAATTATTTATACATCCAAGTAATCTAGTCCTCACCACTCTGTTTATAAACTATTTTTCAATTTTTTTTTATTTAAACTTCTTTTTACAATAATTATACATTTTAGTGTTTTCTTAAAAAAAGAATATCAAATTTAATTAACACATTCAAAAATCAAAAAATATACTTCTTTTTTTTGTAAAATATACATAAAAATTGTTTTTTAATTACAAGGTTTTTTTATATAAATTTTTTTTTAACATTGATAAACAAACATTTAAAAATAAATACGAATAAAAAATAAAAATTTTAACCCGATGAAAATACTTTTCTAACTCAATTTTATTAATTATAAGATTTTTTTTTAAAATTAATAAATATTTTGTAATGTTTAAATTTTATAATTTAAGTGTAAAATGCGTTATATTAAATAACTCAAAATTATATTGCTATTATCATTTTGTTTTAACTTTAATTTTGCCATATTTAAATTTTTTTTGGACTATTTAAAATATGTCTAATTTGTCCCATTTATTTAACCGCTGAGAAGAGTTTAAAAAGCCTTTGTCATTATTTAGATGACAAGGTTATCAAGAGATTTATAAGTGAATGGGGTTGGGAGTAGTGAAGGTTACGGTCCTCAGAAAAAGACCAATTCAGACCTTAGTCCTAAATATAAAGACTTCCAAGTCCTATTTCTTTTTTTTTGAATCCTTTTATTTTTAAAAATATTTTCCCTTTTACCTAACTTAATATTTGCTTTATCATTTTATTAAATATAAATTTATTTTCTGTTTAAAAATATGAATACTATAAATATTTAATTTAAATAAATGCTAATGTCTTTGTTTATAGAACTGCACTGGAAGTAATACGAAAAGAGGGTTTAATAATAGTAGTTCTATTCCATTTTGTCAAATTTTTTAAAAATATTATTTGATTCATATGTTTAAGTTAGATATTTATCTAATAAAATTGAAGAAAGTGACTTTGTTCCCATGGATGGCATATTAAAATTAATTGTAGAGTAGATATTTTTGACATTTTATCAGATGTCTGCTTAAAGCACTTAATAGTTTTTTTTAAAATTTAGAATAAATATAAATTACTGTTGACTGCTACATTAAGTTTGGAATTGTAATACACATATACATATATATATTTTTTATTGGGACCCTGAGGTATTATAATGCGATTTTTTTTTCAAAAACCTTTTTATTTTAACCTATTAATTTGTAGGTTTTTTAACCTGAAGAAATTGCTATTATTTATCGATTATTTTTTATTTATTTTTTACTATTCTCTAAAGCATATTCTTTTCTCTACCTAATATTTTGAGAAAACCTTCAGATTTACTATAAAATTTAAACCAAAGTAAAAACTTTTGAAAAAAATTTTTATATTCCAAAAATTTTGAGACAAAAAAATCTCTGAATTCTAAGATATGTATTTAAAAGGAAGGCCAAGATTTTAAAATATTTTAAGGAAAATTTGACCAAAAATCTTACTTGAGCAGTTAATTTTCAAAAATAAAATATCTGTATTTTTTATTTTTGATGAGCCATTTTAAACTCTGAAGAAAAAAAAACGATCAGTATAATAGTATAGTAAAAAAAAAATTTTATTTCTAATTATTAGTTCTACATCACGCTAAAAGTTTTTAATTATTAATATTAGATTTCTACAAATAATAAAATTCTTAGGCCCAGTTCACTTTCAATTTTTTACTATAGATGCCCGATCCGGTTTAAAATACAAGGCCTAAACCGAGACATTTGTTGTTGAACGCCAAAAAATAAAAAACTATTTATAATATTGGGGGAGTGGTAAAATTAAAAGCACTATACCTTTTATGGATTATCACTTCTACGAAATAATCACTTATCCAAAAGTAAATCAGAGACCTGCATAGGTACCATTTGCATGGCCCGACCCGTTTTTTTAAAAAACAAATTTCAGGTCCGGCACGAGTATAGTATATTTAAAATAATTAAAATACAGCCCGGCCCTTGTACCGAGGCTTTGGGCCGGGTCCGCAGGTTTTTGAAATATATATACAAAAAAATATCCGTTAATTTGCCCGGCCGGCTTAGATAAAAAAATATCAGACGTTACCCTACCCGGTCCATTGCAGATCTCATTTAATATTATACAGGTTAGTATTCGTTAAAATTGGTCTTAAAATTAATTGTCGAGTTCATATTTTCTTTTATGCCATTATAATTATGATATTTGCCATAAACTTTCTAACAACCATTAAACATAAATTATCCAAGAAATTACATATCTCTTCTCCGCGAAAGATTTTACCCTTCAAATCCTTCACAATTTTTTTAAAAATTAGGTAAAAGCTTTTTTGCAGACCCCCTTGAGAGGACTTGTACTGGAATCATATGGTACAGGCAATGCCCCTTCCAACAGACCCGACCTTATCAAATCGTTCCACGAAGCAACAAATGACAAGGGGATAATTATCGTTAACTGTACCCAGTGCCCCGTTGGATCCGTATCTTGTTCCTACGCTACTGGAAAGGTTCACCTAATGCCCTCTATTTTTATATAACATGTCGCATAATATATTTTCAAACACTGGTTTCTTTTCATCTTGAATTTTGATCAACTGATGATTTTGGTTTTCTATATTTAAATGATTTCTCTATTCCTTATATGTATTAGTGATTGTTAAGTATTAAGATGGACATTTTCGGTCGTTTACCTATATAAAAAAAATTCATATTCGACATAAAATGTATGAGAAATTATTATTTTTTAGTTTCATATAATTTTTAATTATGATTTTGTGCACCGCCATTGAACCATTAGTACCTTTGTTCGAAAAATATGTCATTATTATGAAAATAATACTGTTCTCCAAGAATAATCTTAACATATATATTAATTCATTCATTTACTTTTGGATTTTTTTTTGCTTATTCTTGGCACCGATAACTTTTTTCATAGTTTCGATGATTATTTTTCAATATCATGATTTGATACATTTAAAATTTTATCTTGGGAACACATACAAAAAAGAGTACATGGACATTTGTTCAAGATTTATCACCTTTAGTTAAATTGGAAGATGATAAATAAGGTAAATAAGTGTATTAATATTATATGTCGTATTAGTATTTGTAAGATATTGAATGAGGTAATAGTAATTACATTTCTCATATTGGGATCATGGAAGGATTCGAAATCTCTCAACTTTAAATATTATACTATGAGGGTCATTTTAAAATTCGAAAAATATCATTCAACCGGAAATGCTAGAGTTTTAGGTAGGATTTCGCTGCTAACTTTTGGATTACTCTTAATTATAGAGATTTCTTTTATTTAAATGGAAAAATCTATTAAAATTTACGGCGATGTTGTTAACAATTCTCGCTGTGGGCACTCTACATATGCTTAAATACATTTTCGGTAAAATCAGATTTTTTTTCAAATTTACAGCTGAGCCGTCAATAAATGAATTTAAAATTAAGATATTCCTAAATCCAACACGACATATACATATATATTTATACATTCTTTTTATGCACCAATAATGGTGAGGTTTATTTTAATACAAATTATTGACTATTGAAATTTTATAAATATAGGGACAAAATGCAGACACCAGCTGATTATGATTTATATTTACGAGGCCTCTAAATGCATTTTTATGAATGAACCAGTCTAGATAAGTATTATAATATAAATAAATGAAGGGGAAAAAATGGAGATTTTTAACCAATCATTAATTAGACTTTCTCTTTTTTTATGCTGCTTTTTTGAAAAGTTTTATTTAATCTTACTTCTTTTCGAATCATTTATTTAATTAAATATATTTATTTTTTTTATCATACGCGGAAAAACTAAAGGTCTTGATGGAAGCGGGCGTCATTGCCGGTTTCGATATGACGCCAGAAGCCGCGCTTACAAAATTAAGCTATGTTTTAGCTAAGGATGAATGGGACATTGAAACCAAAAAGAAAGTTTTACACGATTATTAAACTAAGAATATGGAAAATTATATCCTGTCTTTTTTTGAAAAGACAAGGTTATAGCTTTATTTTTTAATATTTTGATTTAACCTTTTCTATAACTTTTATTCTTTTAATTTTGAATTAATATAGTAAGGGAAATTTATTTAAATTATTTTTTTTCAACAACCTATTTAAGTAGCGTTTTTCTCTCTCTTTTTCTTTTCTAAGAGAATGAAAGCTGGATAGATTAAAAAAAAGAAAGAAATTAATATGAAATATATTTGAATAGATGATGTCATCAAATTTGAGAGGGGAGCTTACTATCAAATGCCAAGATAAATTAATCTTGAGAGACTTTGAGTTCCTCAACGCTATAGCCAATTCGTTGAACCTATCCACGTCTCCCGTAATTATTTAATAAATTATATTAATTCATCATATTTACAAAGTAAAAAATGCTATAAAAAAATATTTAATTAAATCGAGGAAATTTTATCGAATATTTTTTTCTATGCATAATATCGCAGGAAATCAAAGATTTGCAGATCTCCTTGTTTCCTCTTCTATTGTGTCTGGCCGCTCTTTCTAACGATGTCAAAACGATGGAAATGCTATTGGAAAAAGTTTATTTTATTTTTACTTCTTTTATTTATTATTATCTAAATTTTTTTTGAGTCCTGCCTCCCCCCCCCCTTCCAACATATCAGTGAAATGGCATTAAGTGTTATTGTAAGGTGGTGTCAGGAAAGGGAATTTAGCCAAGAAACTTTGCTACCAACCCTTATCATGTCAACTTAAAATTGTTATATTCTAATAAAGAAAATATTGAGGGTAACAAATGACTTATACAGGAATTCCTGTCCCATTAATAAAACTATATTGTATGACACCTTTTTCAGTCTTCGAAATTGAGTCGATATTTTTTTAGACATTATAGCGCTTGCAATTTATTTTTGACTTAAATTATTTTTTTGTCATAGCAAGTATTATAAATAAGGGAATAATTCTCTAGAAGTTAAAAAAATAATTATAACTTTTTTATTTTCTGACCCCATTCTATTTTCATGAATTTTGAAAAATGAATTACCTTATATTTAAATACACCTAATTATTTAAAAATATGCATTTAAAATAAAATTTATTGAATTTCACATTTAAATTAGTATCTTATTTTTTGCTATGCTTTGTTTAATAACAAGGGTGGCAACGTTAACATGGCGGACTACGACAAAAGAACGCCCTTACATGTAGCATCTAGTCAAGGAAACCTAACGATAGTAAATTATCTGCTTGAAAAGGGAGCCTCCGTTTTCGTCAAGGATAGGTAGGTTTATATCAGTGATAATTATACTAATCTAGATTGGCGATCCATTCATAAATAGGACAGGCACGTTAATCAGCTGTATTCGCCATTTTATAGTTTGCGCAAACTAAATGACATTTTATGATTTAATATATTTTTAAATTTTAAACAGTTTATAATAGAATTTTAAATAAAAACTTACAATATCATTTAGTCAAAGTTAAGACCATAAAATAACGTTCACAGCCGATTTCTAAGTATGCCTATGCATTTTAATTAATAAAGTTTTAATCTATACTATTAAATATATTAAATAACACCTTCATTACTAAACATAGATTCGAAAAGAAAGATTTTATCTCACATTTAAAAACATATTTATCCACTACCAAAAAAACAGTTTTAATTCGACTCCCTTATACAACGCTATATACTTCAAACATTTCCACATCATTGAAGCCATGACCCGGGTTGGAGCTCATTTGGTCATGCCACCTACAGAAATTGGAGATCATTTATGCCAGTAATTTATTTTTCTTTATTAGAAATTTGTTATCATTTTAACGGAACATAATCTTTAATTTGAATGTCTATGCATAACCTCATAAAATTCCTGGTTGTACCGATCCACTTCGCCGATTCGAACCCATCGGATATCGATCCGATATTTATATTGATTTTTACTTGCCATCTATCTTTGAACTAAAGTCATAAAAAATTAATATTTTCAAATTAAAAATCCCAACTAATTTACATGAATGATTATGATAATTTTAATTTATTTTTATTTTCCAAAAGTTAATCATCTCATTTAAAATATGAGCATTATTTATAGCTGAATATAGTGTTTCTAAACGGCTCGATTTAGTCTATTTTTACAAACGGCTAAGAGCCATAATAATATTATACATGCCTCGAAATTGACAAACCTTTCTGTCATCTGTGAGCAAAACCTCCAAACTGGGCAATGAGCTAGCCGAAAAATCGTTTTGATTTAACCGTTTAAACAACACTAGCGGAATGTGACTCGTTGGATATGTTTAAAGTCGCATTGTAGATAATATAAAAAAAAAATACCAAATTTTTAACAGATATCTTATAAAATAATTCGATTTTCTTTAAAAATAAATTACAAATAAATTGTTTTGTTTCCTTTTATTAATTATGAAATTATTTATTTAGTGTTAAAATCCTTTTTAATTATTTAGTTCGTTTTTGTTTATAATTTATCACTTTAATTCATTTTTTAATTTTTATTAGCCCGGCTCAAATTCCGGATTTTTATAAGATAATATTTTTTGAGCCGAACCTGCAGTTCTCTGATTTGAACTTAACAGAATAATATACTTTCATAGCTCTACTAATCATCTTTAAATATAATCATTTCTATGAAAGTTACATCGATAACCACCTATGCCGATTCTCGAACCAATATCGCCGAATACTAACCTGGTGTCAGCTGATACCACCGATAACAATAAAATGATAAATGTTAGTTTATTATAACATGTCATTCTCCAATTCTTAAGCTAATAAAATATAAAATCAAATTTTTTTACACTATTTAGTAAGAAAAAAGTATTTGCGGTGAGAAATTTTTTTTGTTTAATCGTTTATTATAATATATTATAAAAAAGCAAAAATAATAAATTACACTATTTTTATTTGAAAATGAAATGTATTTAACATTTGAAGAGCAGCGATGAGGAATGACGCCGAATCTTTAAAAGCCTGGTATTTAGCTGGCGCAAGTATGAATTTAACCAATATTGATGGTCTAACCGCCTATTCAACAGTAATTCACATATAAGTAGCTTAATTTAATTTGAATTTATTTTGAACGACACGAATATTAAATAATCTTGTATGACGAGACAAAGACTTGATTAGGCGTAGCCAGGATTTTGGAGATCACTATTTGGTAGGCTTTTTTCTCCACAAATTTTATTAGAAATCTTTAGATCCACCTATTTTAGGTCTTTGTCTATATGTAGATTTTTATAAAAATAATTTTAAGGTTTCACTTCTTTTTTTTTATAAAAATGCGTTTTTTCTAAAAATTTTGAATTTATTAACCTTTTCTTTCAAATTCTTTATAATAATAATATAGTACATTTTTAGGGGGAGATTGGGATAAAGTTGTGTGTGGGTGAGGATAATTTTTATTCATTTTAAATGATATTTAAGAAAAACAGCAAATTTGAAAATTAGGAGATGTCTCCTTGCTTCTTTCCTGGCTACGCCTTTGTTTGATAATCTGGAAAGTCTTAGATGTAGTTCAAAGTTACTTTTGAAAATGATAACTAGTTACAAGTAAAATTCTTAAAAGAGGAACTAGTTTATATTACAATAGTAACTATTAACATTAGAAGTTACAACTCATTTTGAATATAGATTTTATTTTTAAAACAATATATCTTAAGCATGCACAATTTTTATATCTTCATGACAGGATTAAATTTGCCTAGTTATGATGAAAAAAATAATGATGAAATTAGTTATAAATAGTATTTATTAAATTTTCATATCTCCTTTGTAATATTGGAGCCTGAAAGTGAACTACGAGGGGCAAAAACATTAAACATGTGTAATATCAAACTGATTCTGTACTTTCCCTGAATGGCACAGGTGTTATGGCATCTGGTCTTTTTACATCTACTGAATTGAGCCCTAAGAGAGTTTTAGGCTTAAAGGAAACCCTACCCTATTAAGAATCTTATTTTTCATATCGCATACTCCTCATTTTTTTTGAATTTGCAATGGAGAGGATAGTAGTCACTCAACTTAATTGTCGATTTAAACAAATTACAAGTGAAATGAAATATAATTTGGTATCCAAAAATTACCTATATCAATGCGCAATTCCTAATCTCTTTCTTTAATTAAAACCTTGGTAACTATTTTTGAGTTACAAACTCCACCTATTATTAGATATAAAAGAAAGCATAACCATATCTAAGCTGGCAAACTTCAAATATCTTCGCTCAGATTGAAAGTTCGAATTAAGAGCGATGGAACGGAAAATTAAAAGAAGTACCAATTCTTTTTGAGGATGCCCACATGATGTCTATAGGTTTACAACATCTCACGCATAAAGAGCCTTCATTAGCTGGAGATCAGATAATTGAATGATGTTAATAATTAGGTCAGATGACCACCGTGAATTTTGTTGTTAAGAACTTGAATGGTCTTTTCCATGGCAAAGCAAAAAGGCAGATTCTAGAGGATCGTCTTGCTGAATCGTTTCCAGTTATTGAATAATAAGTCATATTGAAGGCAAGTTTGATTCCTTTAAAATATTTGACAGAATTACATAATAAATTATCTGCTCCAGGGTCAAAAGCCTAACTAATTTTTGCAACCCTATTCTATTGGGCTCTGGGGTCAAGGGTGGTAACTTAAATGACTCACGCAGCAATTTTAACATTGTTTTAAACGCTCTAACCATGCATTCACAGTTAGCGCTAATTATTTTTCCATACTTCACCGCGAATTGGCGCTAACTGTAGGTTTATCAGCTGGGATAATGGCTATGAGTGGTTTTAAGTGATACCTCGAATTTGGTACTTTATCTAAATGTCGAGGAACTTCGTAGGCTTACGCTCAGGATAACAAATTGATTTTTCTTACACTTTAATTTGTGCTAAGCCGCAGTCAAGTCGAATAGCTACCATTCTCTTTACTACAAATTCAGCAAGGGCTCAACTTAACTGACCGAAAAAGATTAGATGGTATATTAATTATTCCATTCAAAGAAGGAAGATAATTAGCTAGGGATTATACATGTTTTAAAGTATTTACCGGCAGCATCCCTTCATGACCTCATTATTCAAACAAAAATAACGAAAATAAAATAAATACTCATTTTTAACCAAATTTCTCTGTCACGACCATTTTAGGCAATTTTGGTCCTTGTTGCTTTAAAATTTTAGGTAGTATCTCATTAAAAACTGGAGATCCATAGCTATATTCAAATTCAATCTGCTCTCTATTCCTGGTTCAATGTCTGACATGACTTAAGAGATTCTTTTTGTTACAATATAAAATATTTATTTTTCCCGAAAAAGCATATAATAGCACACAATATGTATTTTCAAAAAAAAATTGATTAATAAATTTTTATTTGACTTTTAAAGACATGCAAGTTCTTTTTCCGAAAATAAACTTTAGAATAGGCAAATATTCTGCAGGAGCGCTTGATATAATAGATAAATTTGGGAAATCGTATAAAATATGTACGAGATACATTACATATATATTTTGAAAAGTACCCAGTTACCTTTGCGAAAAAAAATCCAACTATTAACAGTTAATTGTTACATATTTCAAAAGTAACTCTTTATATTTATTTTTTGGCGGAAAATATAACCAGTTACTTTAACAAACCACTCTTGTAACATTTGGTATATTCTAATAGAAGAAAAATGAGGATTAAATAGATATAAAGCAATTCATCCTAATTTTTAATTCATTTATTTTTAATATCAATCATGTTTTTTCGAGAGTTTATTGAAATTAAATAATGCCATGTCTAGTTACTTTTAAAACTGTGTCGCTTTCTCCTATAGTGTTATTAAACAGCTTGATTTTTAAAAATGGCTAACTCAAAATTACCAAAAAATATTACCTAAGCCTGGAGATTTTGCTCATAGATAGAAGAAAGGTTTGAACATCTTTTGCGAAACTCGAGGCCTACGTAATATTAATTTTAAATTGGCTAATTCAAGCCTTTTAACAGAACTACGTCTTTAAAAAACAATAACAACTTTCACATATTTAATTGTAAAATATTGAAAAGTATCAATTTTTTACCTTTATGACATGCTTTTTTTATAAAAAATTACAATCTATGCTTATAGCTAGTGTTGTTAAATGGCTCGATTTGAGCCTATTTTAGCCAGAAATAGTGCCGAAACCTTGAGATTTTGCTAATAGATGTCCAAATGTTTGTACCATCTATAAACAAAATATTCAGTATACTTTTCTGGATAATATATTGAGTTAGCCGTTTTTAAAAATAGGCATTAATCTAGCCGTTTGACACACTACTTATAGTTTTAATTATTTACAAAAATTTAACAGTGTCATGGCTGATAAACCATTTATTCGATATTTAACATAATTATTAACCTTTTTTCTTAAATATCGAGGCTAAGAAATATGGTTGTCTTCAATCCTTGGCCTTCTTGGAAAGCGTATCGAAAACCCCAATTACGGATACAAATGGGATTGACAGCTATCCGCTCCATAACTAAGTATAAAGATACTTCCTTTGCGACAGTTCTTTTTATTAAATTTGTCTATAGATAATTCGTCTATTTTAGAATAAATCTAAGCTCGGAGGATAATTTATATAGAAAATTGACCAAAACCTACATGTTTTAACCTTTATCATGTTTTTTTTAAATGCAATTTTTTAAACTTTTATTAACATAATTTTTTTTAAAAAAAAATACTCCCGTTTTAGCAAACCCATTCCGCCTAAATCATATAATTATTTATTATAATTTATTTGCAAATCAAATCCTACTCATCATTTTTATGAAATTATAAATAAATTTATGTATTAATTATAATAATATTTATAAAAATTATTTATAACAACATTTTTATAATGCGAGCTCAATAAAAAAATATATAAACTTTCTATCAAATATTTTGCGTTATACGAAATATACTTTATTTAATTATTATATTAATAATTTTTGTTACTTGTTATTATTAACTTTGTCATAACATTATAACAATTGTTTTAGGTAATAATTGCATGCGTATCGAGGATTCAAAGGGAAATTGTTCTCTTATGTGTTATTAAGCGACTCGATTTAGCAGATTTTAAATTAAGATTTTAGCCAAAATAATATTAAGCATGTCTATAGATTTCATTAATAGGTTTTCCAAACTTTTCAGACTTGCCTAATATTTTTTCTGATGTATTGGGTTAGCCGTTTTCAACACTGCTCCAGAGGCCCTTGGATCTCGCGTTATATACTTTTGCTTGAGTCAAGGTTTACCATTATTAATTTGCTAGATGATAAATGATAGTATAATATTTTAAATTTAGGTTCATAATGACCATCACATTAAACCGAATTAAAAATATTATAGAGTATTTTTTTTAGATTCGTGATAAGTGCGAAGTTTGAAACAAAATGCTTTAACTAATTTATTTAAGAATATTTTTTGAAAAATTCATTAAGATTTCTCTAATTTATATTCCAAGATTAAAAGATTGTCGCAATGGCATCTTTTCGGTCTAGCGTTGATATAAATTTTTTAAAAGGTTATAATCATTCGTACTAATTTTTAGACTTGATTTATGAATGAGCCGCTTAAAGTATCCAATTCATTCAACTTAAAATAATTTGCTATATTCTATTTGTTTTTTTAAAAAATCCGAAGTAGGTTTATTTTAACTGAATTAGTGGAGTACGAAGTTCTTTAAATTGTAATGGGGATGACGGGTTCCTCAAATTAGTACTTTAATCGCCATTAGAAATTAATATAGAATTCGCGATTACAAATATCACATTTACATATAATTTAATGGTATTTTAAATACAAAAAATAATTTTACATATCCAGGAGCGTACGCAGGAATTCGTTGTGTGAGGGAGGGGTAGGGATAATTAAGAGTTATTTAAGTATATCTTTAAGAAACATAAATTTATAATGTAAATTCAATTTGGGAGACATCTATTAACTAAATTTCAAGACAGGCACTATTTTTATAACTAATATATAGTTAGCCGTTTTAAAATATTGACTCAAATCGAGCCATTTATACAACATAACTGCTGTATTTTTTTATTCTCATTAAAGAAGAATCTTTCATTGATATTATAAATAGAGTTACCAAATAATATAATGTTTATATATTGAAAATAGTCTAAAATGAACATCTTCACAATAAAAATCTGCCAAATTTTATTTTTTCTCTATAAAGATATGTAATAGATTCGGGAATATGCAGTAATTTTTTGCAGATTCGTAAGTTCTGACTAATTATCATTAACTTTTCATTTATTTGAGTTATAAAAGTATCCAAGAACAATATTAATATTAGAAAGATGGGCCTGCCTTGCTGATAGTCTAGGTAGGCAAGTACCAAAATAAAGGTCTGCTTTTGACTAGACAATGGCATAAAATTTATGAAGTCAAATCCATTTGCCCTAATTTCCTAAAGTTTCAATATAATGATTTCGGTTATTCTCATAATCTCAATCAAATCGATGTCATTTTTTGAAATATTTTACTTTAGTTTTGCAGTGAAAAAGTTTTAAATGATTTGGGGAAATTTTAAAATGGTAAATAAATATAAGGTCAAGGAAAACTGTCCTCGATATTAATTCATAGAATAAATTAGTAGCATATTTATTTCAGCTATGAATGTGAATAAATAAATTATAATATATATGCGATGAGATATGGGAATCTAATCCTTTATTGGCATATGATTAGATAGAAAGAAAGAAAGAATATTATGACTCTGTACAAACCCGTCCAATCCTAAAACTGCCGGACGAAAGGATATTCTTGAACTCGGTCTGACCGAATCGTAGTCTTAAAAATTTCAATCCATTTATATTCAGTGCTAAAGTTTTTAATTTTTTTTTCTAATGCTCTATATATATTTTTTTAAGATCTTGAATAGGGCTTGACTTAAAAATATCTCTCCTATAACTCTCTGTTTAAACCTAATTAAATGGTATTTTGTTTTTTAAATGAAATATTTTTTTTAAAAAAATTAAAATATTAATCACATTTAATTTATAAAATCATTGTAAGTAATATAAATATAATTTTATTTGAAATTTTATCTTTATTTTAATAACTATATCGTAGAAATTTAGCAAATTTTTAAATCCTGCCTTGCAACAGTCTCTTTAATTTTGAAAATTCTGATTTTGACGAAATAAGTATTCTAGCATGAATAGAGTATATGCCTACTAGTGATATGTATTTGTCTATGGACTAACACTAGACACAACTTTATTTTATGTTTTTTTTTTAAATTTAATCCTATTTTTTATATTTAAATTTATTAAACAAATGCCTTTCAATAAAGGATTTCAATGTTTGGACTCTTTAACCCATTTTAATGAATAAATAGTCAGACATATTATTTATGTCGTTGGTTTACATATTATAAATTTGTTAATGTGACATAGTATTCGAGGGCGACCATTGTCCAAAACAGAATAATATATCGCATAATTGCAAATTTCTAATTAGATCTTCTAAGCCTACTTTAAAAAACACACTAGGGTACCCCGAAAACCTAAATTTTGGTCTATAATTAAATTATCAAATCAAAACCTGTTTCCTTTAATAATAATAGGATAAATTCTAAAATTTTTTATGTGTGTTTTTTTAAAGGTTTATGTTTTTTTATTTTTTCAAGAGTGGGAAAAAAAATTATATATATAATATATTAATGTAAAAAAAAATGTTAAAAATACGCTAATGGATATTTTCGATATTTTATAAATTTAAAAAATAAAAAACATAATACAAAAATATAATTGACTTAAAAAAAAAATTCGAGGGTAGCAAAAATTAAAATCAAAACTTATAAAAAAATATATATTTTATTTTTTTAATCAAATTATAATAGATTTTATTGATTTATTTTTTGCGATTCAAAATGCATTAAAAACTTTAAAATAAACTCGTATATATACATATTTCCTGAAATAATATTTTCAAAAGAAATAAAAAATAAATAAATAGGTTATAATATGCGATCCGAACCTTATATCAATCAATTTTAATTGATAATAATCTTTAAAAACTAACTTGTATGTCAAAAGGTTCTAATCGGTTTCACACACTTTTATAAAGATTCGGTTCAGGTTTTTATGCCTAAATTTTTAACGATTCATGTTCGGATTATCGGTTAATACCGAGTTATCAGTTCAGGTTTGGATCCCTGGATTAAAATATATTTTGTCTCCAATATGAGAGATTTTTTAAAAAAATAATTCATATGTCACAGCTGAACTAATTCCCTTTTTTCTATTCGTTCACTTCCCATTCCCCTATCATTTGAATTCTAATGATATGGGTTCGGAATTATGATATTTTTTCTTAACAAAATATTTAATACCTAAATCAATTTAATGAATCAAGGACAGATAAGTCTTGGACAAATATACGCCGTACAAAAAGATATCGGAATACTGCAATTTTAGACATTAGTTTAAATGCTTCCTAAAACGGGGTAATATAAAAATGGTCCTCTTTTTTAAGGCGTTTACTTTATTTTTTTTATAATATGGGATAATTTTGTTCAGTGTATTTTTGCGTAGTATCATTTTGTCCAGGATATTTAAGCACTAAATTAAAAGCTTTCTTAGAAAACTTTTAGTGGGCTGCATCCGAATATTAGTTCGCTTTTTTCTTAATGGACTTATCACCTACTTGAAAAGAATGTATAACTTCATCCATCATAACAAAAAAGTGTGTCCTAGTTATTTTTATGAATAGAACGCTCTATATATAAATCTCAGAAGATTTAGGACACAAACTTTCAAAAAAACTAGGACACAACCTTAGGGATGTTAAGGAAAATAAACAATGTAATATATCATTTTTTTGGTTTTCGCGTGTAACAACTTAGACATGTTTAATTTATGAAATTTAGCAAATTATTGATTTAATAAAAATAAATTAAATTTTTTTTTACTATAAAAGTTTTGCCATTATTTTACTCAAGCATAAAAAAAAATATTATAACACGTCAACATAGCCAAAACTATAATCTTCGCTTACATTTCTTAGAAATTAGATATTTCGATCATATTCATTTTGTAATCTTGTTAAATAATTATTTTTTAATGTTCTTAATTATAGCGATCTCTCTTTAAATTTTGTCATTTTTTTTTCATCTTTTCAATTCTCTATTGTTTTTACCAATCTTCTTCCCTCTTTTAATCTTTGTTTTACAACAATTGCAGGAATTAATGTTATCAGCGATAAATTATTATATTTAATTCAGACACCTATAAGCTCAGAAACCCAAACTGAAACTTGCTCAAAATTTCTATTTTTTCTAAAATCCAAGGCTGATGACAAAGTAGATTAAATGACCTGAAATTAAAGAGATTGCAAAAATTAGAGAAAGAATAATTAATAATAACCAAAAATTAAAGAAAAATGCCAAAAAATTTCAGATATAATAAAAAAAATGACAACAACTATACTAAATAATGTTTTTGCTTTTTGGAATAGTAATTTTCATTTTTTGATTAAACCTTATATTTTTTATGATACTTTTTCTAAGTTTTTAGTATCTATCCCTTTTTGATCAGACCATTTTATTTTTGGTAGCACTTTTTCATTCTTTAATCGGACTTTTTTCATTTTTTAATCGTACCTTTTCTTTTTTTGATCGAATCTTTCTTTAATTGACACTTTTCTTTTTTTGATCGAACGTTCTCCTTTTTTGATCGGATCTTTTCCTTTCCTTATCGAAACCTTTCCCTTTTTTTTATGGGAAACCCTGCAATAATAATTTGACACATGTATAAATAATTTGCAATAAATATAAAATTTATTAT